GTACGGGGGAAGGATTGCATGGAGGGGATTGTAACCATGGCAATAAGAAGATATACAATAGAATGAATGTAAAACTAATGTTCTCCCATGTAAACTATCACATAATTCATAATAAAACATTAAAAAAAAAAAAAGGGGGGGGCAGCTGTAATATAATACTAGCTGCAAATACTTACATGGAGTTTAGTCTATGTCAGGTACTATTCAAAGTAGGGTAGATACATTAAGTCAATTAATCCTTACCACAATCCTTTGAGATGCAACTCTGTTACTCGTTTGACAAATTATTTATCTATGCTGCAGATGAGAAACCTTTGGCACTGATGAGTTAAATAATTTGTCCAAGTACATTCAGCTAGTCTGTTGTAACTATCACCGTATTGGCCTCTTTAAACCAATGGCAGATATATTAGCAAGAAAAAGAAAAATATGTAGAAAGATAAAAGAAAAATGAACCATCTTCAATTTCTTAAAAGGTAAGATTTCAATAAAGAGTGAACTTACTGACATTTAATTTAAACTAAGTTGTTTTTCTCTAGTATTTTCCTCGAGTCCTGGTGTGGTGCTATCAGATAAGCACTGGATTGTTAACTGCAAGGTTCAAGCACACCAGCTGCTCCCTGCAAATCCTATACAGGGTCACAATGAGTTGGAACTGACTCAACAAAACTTAACAACAACAGTATTTTCTGATATTGTCAATTTTATAAGCTCTGATTGGTATTCCCATGTTCAAAAGACTATGAAAATCCAATTTTAAGTTTCAGCTTTCATTTGTGAATATAACATGTTCCTTTAATACAGATTTTGACACTGTATTCCCTAGTAAGCAGTAAGCACTATGCATAATAGGGATTATTTGATGCTTGCTTGGTGTGGCGCTGTAAGATCAGCACTGTACTATGAACCATAAGGTCAGCAGTTCAAATGCACCAGTTGCTCTTCAGAAACCCTACACAGGGTTGCTATAAGTTGGAACTCACTTGATTGCACTTTGCACAACAACAACAACAATGTAAAAAATCAATGTCACCTTTTACAGATAACGGAACTTCATTTTTTCCATTTGTGAAATGAAGTTAGGCTGGTTCCTTTCAGCCCCTTTCTGGTTTCAATATTCTATAAATCTGTGATTCAATTTATAAATCTATAGTTGGGGACATTTTCAACAGCCATTGGTAAAAACATTTTCTTTCCAAGAGCTATTCATTCATATTCTGAACCTATTGTTCTTATGCTGTAGATTGCAAGTACAATCAGCTCTAAATTTTCTCTGTTGATGGAAAACAGCAATAATGCAGAGGATTCAAACATCATCTGTTGCAGACTTTGGAATATTTATATAAAGATATATAGTTTTATTTTTACAATAGAAGTAGCAGCATCAAGTTTACCTTCATAATTATACAAAATGCTTAGCACAATGTCTGAACATAGTTGGACCTCAATAAATGTTTCCTTTCTTCCTCCATCCTTTCAATCTCACTTAAAGGATTAAGAGCTACATTATATGGTACACATCCCAACCAGAAGGTGGTGCAGTGACTGAGGCTTACTGCGATACTATGGGGTTGTTGTTGTGAAGTGCCGTCAAGTCTATTCTGACCAACAGCGACCCTGTGTAGGGTTTCTGAGGAGCAGCTGGTGAGCTTGAACTGCCGACCTTGCAGTTCAAATGGTTTTGCAGTCTGGCGCATTAATTCACAGCACCACAGGTAGCTAGTCTAACGTGAAAAAGGGGCCAAAATCAGCCAAATGCTGGACTACTAACCAAAAGGCTGACAAGCACCAGAGCTGCCTGAGCTGAAAGGTTTGGTATTTGGCATTCTGCTTTGAAACGTAGCTTTGACAACCCATGGATCAGTGTTATTCCACACCATGAGTCTAACTGATTTGGTGGCAACTGGTTCTGTTTGTTTGCAATAATGAAGGTGTATGTAAACAACTGAGAATAACTATTAAAAACCATGAACCTTTCCTTTCATATTTACTTATAGTCTACAAAAAAATTTCATGGCATTTTTACTGTTATTATGAAAGAAGGGACCACATTTGTTTCTTGTGCCTACTATAGTTCTAAGCAGTGTTTTTGTTTTTTTACCTTGTCTACACACTAGAATTATCAGAGGAACTCAATAAAAAAAATCCCTGTGGCCAGATCACACCTCAGGCTAGGTACTGATATCTGTTAAGCCCTCACCAGGTGATTCCTGTTTGTAGCCAAGATTGAGAACTACAGTAGTAAACAGGTTAAGTTGCATCTAAATAGCATCCGCCTTACCTGGGTAATCTCATTTATCACCACGTGAGTACACTTTGCTTCATATTCTGGTCGGGCTTGTTCTTCCTGCTGTAACTCAACAGTGTCCCATTCGTATTCAAGTTCTGCTTGGCGCCGTTTCCAAAACTCCAAAAACAAGGTAACTAATAGAGACAGATTAGGATCATTTCTTTAATATGACTGAGGTTTCAGAAATCTGTATCATACTGAATTATGTTAATAATCCGTAACACTTTTGCAGATAGTAAAGAAAATTTACCATATACAAAACTAATTTACAGGTGATACTAATAGTTAATACACACATTCATAGGAGGGGTCTTCAAAAACTTCATGGAAAAATGGAATTAAAAGATGGAACTTTGCCACAAACTTTTTGAAGCCCCCTTGTACATGAGTACATGTAAAAAATATTTGCACAAAATCACAGAAATCTTTAATAAACAAAGATATCTAAATGTGAAGCTAGTGTTCCTCTGTATATCCTTCATCTAGATCTGTATAATTCTGAAGGTGGTCATCTCTCTAACCTTCTGTAAAGAATTTTGCACACTTTGATGTATATCACATTTAAACAGCAGTTTTGGCATCTTTGAGGGACTCATATCATGTTCCTTTTAAATATTCCTTTGAGTTTCAGAACAACAAAAAAATTTTGAGGGAGCAAGAGTAGTGCTGTAGGGTGAAGGAGGTAAAGGTTTCCTTGTTGCCCTTGAACAATGATGAAAACAAAATTTCTTTGCACAACTTCCTGACCTTTTTCTCACCAGCGCAGTTTTCAATTTTCTTAAAAACTTCTTCATAATAAGTTCTGTGATTGTCTGTGTCTCTTGAGAAAATCTATCAAGATTACGCTTTGGTATCCCAAAAGACAGACAGTCACCGTAACCTTCTGAGTTGATCTTTCTTCCTTGAATTGAACTGGCCCACCAGATCCCCTCAGAAGCCACAGTTTTAATTGGATCTTTTTTTTTTTTTAATGCACCTTAAGGGAACTTAGACAATTGTATTACTGAGAAAATTTGTTTGTAGACATCCATTGATTACAGAGATATATTTCAACATGTTTTGTTTGGAATAAACAAACCATTACATGTATGAACTGGAGCCCTAGTAACAATACTTTTTTACTTACCTTAGTATTATGTGCTAAAACAAGGACAAAAATGGAAATTACCCAGGAGTATGAAAAGTTAATGAATTCAAATTTGTAGTATATAATGGTAGCTCTGGGAGCATCTAACATATGTTTCAGGGCAGGCTTTCCCAGGGAAGGAAACAGTCTAGGAGGTAAGTCTTGAGAAATTATTAAGGGGTAATCAGGTGGATTGAACCGACTCGACGGCACTTAACAACAACAACAATCAGGTGGATTACCCTAAAAGCTATGCATGCAAAGACAAGTACTTTCCAGGGTGCAGTGGGGCATGGGTCAGAAAGCTGCAAAGATCTACAGGGGCACAGCACCAAGGGCTTTGTAGTCCTTGTATAAGTAGTTTGATTTTAACCTACCAAATTCTTCATCTATCACAACCAGCTACACAAGTGACATTGGAGGGTGAAATCTACAAAGCCCTAATTTTGATTTGTGTCCAATTAGCAAATGAAGTTCCCGAAAGCTTTACTCTATTCACATCATCATGGTCAATTCTACTTTGTGAAGGCAGCTCTTCCCCAGTTGTATTTTGTGTTCCTTCCAACCTGAGGTGTTCACCTTCTGGCACTGTATATAATAGAGTTCTGCTGATATTCATAAGGTTTTCAGTAGCTACACATTCAGAAGTAGTCTGTATTTCCTTCTTCCTTGTCTGTTTTAATCTGGATGCTCAGCTGAATGCTTTCCACCATGGGTAACCCTGCTGATCCTGAAAATACTGGTAGCATAACTTCTAGCATCAGAAAAGCATGCAAGTCAGCACAGTATGACAGACTGATAGATGAATGGTGGTCAGGGAAGGGTTAGAAAGATGGAAGCGCTGTCTTCAGAAATGTATGTGTAAATGAGGGATATGTCAAGAACTACTGATATTTAATAAAAGTTTCTATGAATTCATAATAATTTTACTTTCTTAAGAAAGATATTTTTCTTGAGGAAATGGCTCACATGGTTTAGAGACAGGCAAGTCCCAAATTCATGGTCAGACATCTGGCTGGTACAGCTGTAGGAGCTGACCGATATAAGCATAGCAGGTAAGATGGTCGGCTGCCAGCTCACTGACTCTGGAGGCTGATGCTTACCATTAACTGGAGGTCAGATGATGACAAACCAACTGTAGGATCCAGAGCAAGGGATCCTACAGTTTGCCTGAACATCCATATGTAGGTACTGGATACTGGCCATACCCTTGAGGAAACTCCCCAATTACATAACCAGCAGGCCTGAATAAGGGTATCGTGGGGACTCCCAAGCTTGCGCATGCCATCTGAAGTCTTGGGAAGGCTTTGCAGCCTGGAGAACTGTGTTCTTTAACTTGTGTGGTCTGACTTGACTCCAAGTAATTATGGTCAGAGTGACAAGTACTGCCTGTGCAGCTGGCGTCAGAACAGAAATGGAACAGCTGGAGCAGAAAAGAATCGTTAGTAAATTGATTTGCATTGATCTATGTGCATTTGGTATCAGAAGTGAGAAGTAGAGACCCCAGGCCCATCAACTCATTGCCTTGAGATGTCTGATAATAACTAGGAAGTTTTCATCACTTTGTCCCCTGTACTCCCAACACATTTATAGCTGTGTTTGCAGGAGAGGTAAATACCCATGTACCAATATTCTTCTCAAACTCTTAAATATTTGTGGGATATTTAAGTATGTATGGAAGTCCTGGTGTGGTACTGTGAGTTAATGCGCTGTACTGCAAGTCTGGCTTGAACTGCAAGGTCGGTAGTTTAAGTTCACCAGTCACTCTTCTGAAACCTTTACAGGGTCACTATGAGTCGGAACCAACTCAACAGCACTTAACAACTATATATATATATATTCCACTTTTCCTTCCATACTCATTCAGCCTGTGACTGTATCCATGCATTTACCTACAGAACATTGTTAATCCAAGGTTGTGTATATATCACTATCTACTTCTATCCACTTTAGCTCTTACCTACCTCCCTGTGTCTTCATCATTCTTCTGCCAACCTCCCTCTTATTGTATTTTGTCCTCCACCTTCTTGTATATTGTTCTCCCCATCACTTAAGTTTGGTATTGGCCATTTTTGAATCAGTAAGTTATAATTCACTATGCCAGAATTGACAAATTTAAGAGGAACAGTGTCACTGTCATCATCAAAAAGAACATTTCAAGATTTATCTTGAATACTGTCTGTGATAGGATAATATTCATACACCTACAAGGAAGATCAGTTAATACCACTACTACTCAAATTTATGCACCAACCACTAAAGTCAATGATGATGAAATTAAAGAATTCTGCCAGCTTCTTTAGTATGAAACTGATCAAACATGCCATTAAAATATATTGATAATTACTGGTGATTGGAACAAGAAGGATGGAAACAAAGAGGAAGGATCAGTCACTGGAAAATAAGGCCTCAGTGATAGAAATGATATTGGCGATTGCTTGATAGAATTTTTCAATACCAAGAACTTCGTCATTGCAAATATATTTTTAAAACAACATAAAAAGCAACTATACATATGGACCTCACCAGATGGACTACACAGAAATCATATTGCCTACATATGTGGGAAGAGGTGGTGGTAAAGTTCAATGTCATCAGTCAAAACAAGGCCAGGGGATTACTGTGGAGCAGATCATTAATTGTTCACATGCAAGTTCAGGCTGAAGCTGAAGAAAATGAAAACAAGTCCATGAGAGCCAAATGATGACCTTGAACATATCCCACCTGAATTAGGGACCATTTCAAGAACAGATCTGATGCATTAGACACAAACGACATTAAGACCAGAAGAGGTTTAGGATGACATCAAGAACATCACGCAGGAAGAAAGTAAAAGGTTACTAAATGGACAGGAAAGAAAGAAAAGACCAAAATGGATGTCAGAAGAAACTCTGAAACTTGCTCTCTAGCAGAGAGATGCTAAAGCGAATGGAACAAATGAGAACGTTAAAGAGCTGAACAGAAAAAAAAGGGCAGCTCAAAAAAGACAAAGTCAAGTATAATAAAATATGCAAGGACCTGGAGTTAGAAAACCAAAAGGGAAGAACACACTCAGCATTTATCAAACTGAAAGAACTGAAGAAAAAATTCTAGTCTCAACTTGCAATACCTAATGATTCTATGGATAAAATACTGAATGATGCAGAAAACATCAAAAAAGATGTAAAGCATATATAGCACTATAGCACAAAGAAGTGGTTTTCAACCATTTCAGGAGGTAGCATATGATCAAGAACTGATGGTACTGAAGGAAGAAGTCCAAATTGCACTGAAGGCATTGGCAAGAAACCAGGCTCCAGGAAGTGATGTAATACAAATGGAAAACTTTAAACAAACTGATACAGCACTGGAGGCACTCACTCATCGATGACAAGAAATTTGTAAGATGTCTGCCTGGCTAAGAGATTAAAAGTGAGCCACATTTTTGCTCATTCCAAAGAGAGGTGACTCAGTAGAATGTGGAAATCATTGAACAGTATCATTCATATCTCATGCAAGTAAAATTTTGCTAAAGATCATTTTAAAATGCCTGCAACAGTGCCTCAACAGGGAACTGCCAAAAATTCAGGCCGGATTGAAATTATACATGGAATGAGGGATATCATTGCTGACATCTGATTGATCTCTTGATTAAAAGTAGAGAATACCAGAAAGATGTTTACTTGTGCTTTATTGACTATGCAAAGGCTTTTGACTTTGGACCATGACAAGTTATGGATAACACTGTGACGAATGGGTATTTCAAAACACTTAATTATGCTCCTGAGGGACTAACTGGTACATAGACTAAGAGGCAGTCATTTGAATGGAACAAGGGGATACTAAATTGTTTAATATCAGAAGTTGTGTATGTCTACTATACTTGCTTGGATCCACAATCAATACTAATGGAGGCAGCAGTCAAGAAAGCAAATCTGCTGCACAAGACCTCTTTAAAATGTTCAGGAGCAAAGATGTCAGTTTGAGGACTAAGGTACACCTGACCAAGCCATGGTATTTTCAATAACC